AGGGTTTAGGGTTTAGGGTTTAGGGTTTAGGGTTTAGGGTTTAGGGCTTAGGGCTTAGGGCTTAGGGCTTAGGCTTAGGGTCTTGGGCTTGGGAAGTTGCTTTATAAAGCAAACATAAGCCTGATTCCAAAGGAACAGTTGTTTCACTTGGTTTAGAGCTTCTAGGGCTTCTGCTGAAGGGTGCTGTGGGCTGTCCTTCGTTGCTTTGTTCTCCCGAACCTCCCACGGGACCTACACCTCAAGAACTTTATCTAGGGTTGAGGGTTTAGGATTTGGGTTTAGGGTTTAGGGCTGAATGGCATCGGCTCGGAGGGCTTGAGGTTAGAAGGGATTAAGCTTTAAGAGTTGAGGGGTGTTTGGAGTTTAGGGCTTCTGGGGCTTAGGGTCAGAAAGCGTGCTCAATGTATGGGGTTTCCGACATTAGGGGTACCTTACTGGGGTCCTGATTTTAAGAAGGGGATCCTACTATTTGGGAAGCTAGTTCAGGGGCCCCCTATTCTCGTAAACCCCCTTTGGTTCAGGGAACCCTAAACCCAAACCCGTACAGGTCCTACCTAGATGGACGGGCAAAAAAAAAACCTCTGAGGAAGGCTTATTTAAGGACATTACGTTGGCTTCTAGGTTGTCGGTATATAATACCCCGAAAACTAAATCCGAGACTTTCTGAGCCCTAAACAAAGAGGGACACTACGCAGAAGCGGGTCTTTACATTTTGGGCTTAGGCAAGCTGGGGGTAAACCCTAAACCCGAACCCCCAAACCCTAAACCCCACCCCAAACCCTAAACCCTAAACCCTAAACCCAAAACGCAAAACCCTAAACCCTAAACCCTGAACCCAAAACCCTGAACCCTGAACCCGGAACCCTACATGGGGCCCCCTAGTCATAAGTAGAGGTATAAGAGCCCTAAATTGGGTTATAAGGATCCTAAACTAGGTTATAAGTTCCCTTAACTACAGTTAGTATAGTAAGGGTTTAGGGTTTAGGGTTTAGGGTTTAGGGTTTAGGGTTTAGGGTTTAGGGTTTAGGGTTTAGGGTTTAGGGTTTAGGGTTTAGGGTTTAGGGTTTAGGGTTTAGGGTCCAGGCTTGGCGGGCAGAGGGAACTCAGTGTCTGAGGTCCCTGCTGGAAGTCCACCACTACCCTCTCCTCGATGAGATCCCTGTGCAGCGGCCCTACTAAGGCCTGTCAGCCCGAGACCCGAAAAAAGGCCCCCGAACCCTAAACCCTAAACCCTAAACCCTACACCCTACACCCTAAACCCTAAACCCTAAACCCTAAACCCTAAACCCTAAACCCTAAACCCTAAACCCTAAACCCCTAGCCCTACGTCCTAAGCCCCAAAACTCTGCACTCTAGCTCCAAAGCCATGTTCCACAATGGTGTGAGGTATGTGATGTACCAATCTCGCATTCGTTTAGGGTTTAGGGTTTCGGGCTCTACGGCTTCGGGTTTGGGGCTTCGATCCCTTACGGTGCGGAAGTCTGCACTTCGACACGCGTACCCGACATGTCAGACCAAAATCCTTGAGGGTTTAGGGTTTAGGGTTTAGGGTCTAGGGTCTAGGGCCTAGGGTTTGCAGTAAACTCCCAGAAAGTTGGAGCATCCTTATCCCCATACCCCAAAAAGGCAATACAAAAGGGAATCCCAGCTCTCATCATCCTTAAACCCTAAACCCTAAACCCTAAACCCTAAACCCTAAACCCTAAACCCTAAACCCTAAACCCCAAAACAATGCTCCCCAACTCGAGTTCGCTGGTAAAGGGCTTTCGGGTTAGCTTGGGGTATCGACAGGGGCACCCCATGTAAAAACCTTGCCCTTGTTGCCCCCCCCCCTCCCCCCCCCCCCCCCCCCCCCCCCCTAGTGGGTTTCCCTACGTCCGACATCCTGTAATTTTGCCTAGACCCTGAACCCGAAACCCTAGTCTATCCAAGATATTCCAGGCTTCGAGCTCAGAGTGAGCCCAAACCCTAAACCCTAATTTGCCTGAACCAACGTTTCAGGTTTAGGGTGTAGGGTTTAGGGCTTGCGGCATCAGCGGCATATAGACTCGTCCCAGGTAGATGTAGGAGATGGTGCCCTTCCCGAAGGGCAAGTACATTCGTGGCCTCAAGCACACACACACACACACACACACACGGACACAGGCACATACACATAAACACACACACACAAACACAGAGACCTGTATGCATGATCTAGCACAGAATACACATATACAAATATGCATATGTATATATATATATATATACACAAGCATATCCCCCCCACCCCACCCCACCACTCCCCCAACCCCACCCATGCACCAAGCTATTCCATAGACCCTCAAAGGCCCAAACCCTAAACCCTAAACCCTAAACCCTAAACCCTAAACTCTAAACCTTTAGCTTACATGAGCAGAACCCTGAAACCTTAACTTACATGACCCGCAAAACCGTCACCTAATTAATGAGACCTCATTGCTGGGCTACGAAGCTATCTAGGGTTCGGGGTTTAGGGTTTAGGGTTTAGGGTTTGGGGTTTGGGGTTTAGGGTTTGGGGTTTGGGGTCAGCTTCAAGCAGTACAGCAACATCTCATCCTAGCAGGCTTTGGATCCAGTATGGTCAAGGTGGGATCTTAGGCTAATTATGTGGGTTGAGGTTGTTTTTTTCCTGGTTTAGAGTTTGGGGTTTAGGGTTTAGGGTTTAGGGCGTAATGCAGTGTAGGTTTTCGTCCTTGTTGCTTTGCTTTTGTCCGTTCATCCACTTTCAGCTGGCTTTAATTTGTTGAAGGCACATGGTCACCTACTCCATGCTCTGTTGCACTACTGGTCCCTTGGATGGCTCCAAGTTAATCAACGCAGGAGCCGCTCAATTCGATGGCAATGGGCCACATGCACTATAGGGCTCTTAAGGGAGGGGGGTTTTGGGCCGGGTATGTAACCCAAGGTTCCCTAGTGCTCCCCACTACTCCCCAAGGCTCCCTATAAGGCCCACCCTAAACCCTAAACCCTAAACCCTAAACCCTAAACCCTAAACCCTAAACCCTAAACCCTAAACCCTAAACCCTAAACCCTAAACCCTTTGAGCCCCCAAACCCTAAACCCCAAAGCCACCGAAGCAGCCCTCGGGTCTAGAGCTTAGGGCATCGACTCTACACCTAAGGAATAGGGTTTAGGGTTTAGGGTTTAGGGTTTAGGGTTTAGGGTTTAGGGTTGAGGGTTGAGGGTTGAGGGTTTAGGGTTTAGGGTTTAGGGTTTAGGGTGCAAGGTGGATTTTGCCTTCAGAAAGAGCCCTGAACCGTAAACCCAAAGGCCAAGGCCCCAGCCCCAAGACGGTCACGTCCTTGTACCTTTCGTTGGTGAAGATTTGGAGCACCTTTGCCAACAATAGAGGGCTCACCCTAAACCCTAAACCCTAAACCCTAAACCCTAAACCCTAAACCCTAGACCCTAGACCCTAAACCCTAAACCCTAAACCCTAAACCCTAAACCCTAAACCCTAAACCCTAAACCCTAAACCCTAAACCCTAACCCTAAACCCTAAACCCTAAACCCTAAACCCTAAACCCTACAAGAGTTTCGAGCCTTAGGATCCTCAAGGCCTTTAGCAATCCTAAACCCTAGGCAGCCAGGACTGCTTTGGTTTGCAAGACAAGAGCCAGTTTGGGGGTTTAGGGGCAAACCAGCATAGCACAATCCCAGAGCAAGAAGTACACTCCCTAAACCCTAAACCCTAAACCCGGTCCCGACCTTGAAGTCGAGGCCAGTGTCGAAGACGATGAAACCATCGTCGATGCGGATGAAATAGATCCGATCCTCCCCGGCTCTGATCCGCTTTCTTTTGTAGGGTTAGGGTTTCGGGTTTAGGGTTCAGGGCTTAGGGCTTGGGGTTTACAGGCGTAGTTTGCGGTACGGTTCTGCGGGCTCTCAGTGGGGGGTAAAAGCACGAGACCTTCGGTAGTGCGTCACAAACTACAATTATAGCAAATATGTTACAGCCAGTAGCGAGGGGCCTGTTAGGGTTCAGGGTTTGATTTCAGGCTTCGCAACATGAAGGCGTGGAGGGTTTAAACCCTAAACTCTAAACCCTACACCGTAAACCATAAACCCTAAACCCTAAACCCCAAACCCAAACCTGGCTTTTGAGGGAAAGACTGGTGTGGACATGGTGTGGTGAGCGACTTTGAGGTAGTGGGATTGTCAACAGAAGGGGTTTAGGCCCCAGAACCCATGAGCCCTAGACCCCTAAACCCTAAACCCTAAACCCGACTAGGCTGTTAAGCCCTATGTGCCCTCCAGGCCTGCAAGCCCAGGGGCTTCCTTGAGCATGGGTGTTAAGGCTTAGGGTTTAGGGTTTAGGGTTTAGGGTTTAGGGTTTAGGGTTTAGGGTTTAGGGTTTAGGGCTTAGGGACCCTAAACCCTGAACCCCAAACCCTCATTGCATCAGGCGCAGGCTTTGGTGACGAAAGCATGCTGAAGTCGTTGCAGTCAGACAGGTGCCGAAGAACTGCCCATATTCTACCTGCAGTGTCCCTACATAACTGGCATTTACGCGACCCCAACAATACCAATTCGACTTTCAACAGGCCACTATATGGTAAAATCCCAAAGTCGGGGACCCCAACAAGGGTCCTCGATTTTGGGACACCTTGAACCCTAAACCCTAAACCCTAAACCCTAAACCCTAGACCCTAAACCCTAAACCCTAAACCTAAACCCGATATCGGACATGCGACGAGCAGTTGAAGCGCGGCATCACATCGCGCTGGGTCCAGGCTGCTTGGCAGCTTTGACACATTGCTAGGCCCCAAGTCGACCTAAACCACGTCACCTTATCAGGCGAAGCTATGCTCCAGTCTGATAACTCTATGGGGTTTAGGGTTTGGGGTTTAGGGGTACTGGCTACCATGATTCCGGAGCAAGAATTTCAGCTACGAATCCACTGCGCATGTGAGTCGAGAGTGCTTGCTGATTCAAGCATCACGAACTTGGGCACCTTCCCCCGGGAGCAGCTGGTCTATTCAAAACTTCTCGGTTTGAGTCAAATCACCTGAAGTGCCTGCCTGAGATGGCTCAAATGCTGCCCCTTCCTGCTCCTTGCTCCCATCCTCCGTGCCCACGGCGTCAGCATTCTTCTTCTCATTGGCCTTCTTCTTTCTCGTAAGCTTTGACATGGGATTCGCCATGGAGGCCACATGCGCAGCCTTGTTGGTGAGGGACAGCCTGCGTTGGCTTCCCATTTTTGAAATCTTTCCTACGTGGTGCGCGAGGATCATCAAGGCATCCTCCTTTGAGTGGCCCAGGGCTTCTTGCTGAACACGGTCGAAAGAGAAGGTGACGATGGCAATGAAGAGGTTCATGAGCACAAAACCAACCATCAAGGTGAAGAGTGTAAACCAGAATATGGCGCTCCTGCGTGGGGCAGGAACCATGTAATCATAAGAACACCCCTTTTTGGGGTTGGTTACTCTATAACGCAACCTTGAACAGAACAAATGAAAGGGTATTACTGGGCTACCAGGGCACACTGGCGCAATGGCATACATAGCCATAAAGTCGAAATCGCCCATCAGTACCCTGAATGATGATGCAAACGGTAAGAACCTCGGTTCTTGCCGTCCCCCTGGTTGCAAGCGGGGGGGGGGGGGGGGGCTCGTGCGTCGGATATCTCTATAACCCAGCTGAACTAAAACATTAGACACATTCGTTACGAATAAGGTGACCCTCAGCCCTACCCTGGCCCAACACATGTAAACCCTAAACCCTAAACTCCCTAAACCAAAAAACCCGAAACCTAAAACCCGAGCTTCTACACCAAGGCAGGGAGCGATCGAGACCAGGAGTAGAGAATGTGACCGAATAAGAAATGGGCACCCATGGCGAAGTTGACGAAAACAACGCTGAAGACGATGAAGAAGTACCTGGTGGGCATGAGCCCCAACATTAGATCTTACTACTGCTACTGCTACTGCTACTACTACTACTACTACTACTACTACTACTACTCCTCCTCCTACTCCTACTCCTACTCCTACTCCTACTCCCACTCCTACTCCTACTACTCCTCCTCCTACTCCTCCTCTTCCTACTCTCACTCCAACCGTACCAGCACCACCACCTAAACCCTAAGCTCGAAGCCCTAAACCCTAAACCCTTAACCCTGAACCCTAAACCCTAAACCCGACCACGGTACAGTATATTGCCCATGGCATCGTGCAGCGTGTTCACGAAGACCCGCAGCCGAGGGGATACGGGGAGGCCTTCCCCGAATTTCAGCAAAAGCACCAGCCTGAATTCAGGGTTTAGGGTTTGGGGCTTAGGGTCATAAGGTTGAATGCAACCTACCACCCTAAACCCTAAACCCTAAACCCTAAACCCTAAACCCTAAACCCTAAACCCTAAACTCTAAACCCTAAACCCTAAACCCTAAACCCATGTTGAGACTTTGTTCGGGTTTATGGGTTGGGGTTTAGGGCTCAAGGCCGAGGGCGTAGGCTTGGGGTTTAGGAAACAGAAACAAAACAAACTTCGAGAGACCCAGCTGTATAGAGCCAAGAAAGACCCAACGCAGCCCTCGGCAGATTCCTTCAACCCGAACCCCTAAACCCTAAACCCTAAACCCGAAACCCTAAACCAGTCTGAGTCCTTTGAGTTCACGGCCGTGTGCTTAGTCTGATGGGTTTTACGCTTTTACCTCCTGGGTTCTTTGTAGGGAACGATGGGAACTGGGTACCCCCTTTAGAATCCCGCAAAGGAAATATACATATATAATTATATATATACATATATGTATATAATATTTATACGTATATATGTATGTATGTATATATACACATGACCATTTAGCTCGCCATATATATATATATATGCTCACCCCCCCCCCCCCAATGGACCCACCGCGGATGGCAGCCGAGTCCTAGCCAGATCAAGGCAAAAAACAACAAAACAAGAAACTAACAAAAACCAACAAACCAAAAAAACCCAAAAAACCAAAAAAAAAAAAAACAAAAAAACCATCTTTTCCAAAACTATGGGGCTGGGGCCTCCAAAAGATGGTTTTTTTGGTTTTCTCGAGAAAAAGATGTTTTTTTGGTTCGAAACCATCTGAGCAGTTTTTTTTTTCATTGTGTGGGGTGTTGTAATGGCATGGGTATCCTACGCGGGCCTACGCGTCAGCTCATGTTTAGTAGGCGCGCGACCTACGCGCGGAGTATGTTGTTGACGTGTGCCTACGCGGACCTACGCGGCAAGCACAGACAACCTACGCGGACCTACGCGCCCACACTGCATAGACTTGCCTACGCGGACCCTACGCAAACCTACGCCCTGCAGGCAAAATGCTACGCGGCCGACTTTCAATGATCGCGTCTCTACGTAGCCTTGCTCCTAGAAAAAAAACGCTGCTCATCTTTTTCTCGAGAAAAAGATGGTTTTTGAGCAGCCGCTCTTCTAAAAACCATCTTTTTCTCGAGAAAAAGATGGTTTTACCAGGAGAAGACCTCCAAAAACCATCTTTTTCTCGAGAAAAGATGGTTTTACCAGGACAAGACCTCCGGAAACCATCTTTTTCTCGAGAAAAAGATGGTTTTTCCAGGGTAAGATCTCTAAAAACCATCTTTTTCTCGAGAAAAAGATGGTTTTTCGAAGAGCGGCTGCTCAAAAACCATCTTTTTCTCGAGAAAAAGATGGTTTCGAACCAAAAAAACCATCTTTTTCTCGAGAAAACCAAAAAAACCATCTTTTGGAGGCCCCAGCCCCATAGTTTTGGAAAAGATGGTTTTTTTGGTTTTTTTGGTTTTTTTGGTTTTTTTGGTTTTTTTGGTTTTCTCGAGAAAAAGATGGTTAAGTTTTAGGGGTTTAAGCCTCATGCACTACAGGGTTATAAGGTTCTAATCCTATAGGTATTGCCTTAACCTTTAACCCTAAACCTTTAACTTTAAACCCTGCAGGGTTAACCCCGTGAGAAATTTAGAGATAGACCCCGAAAAGACCCTAAACCTTCTTACAGGGTGTAATGGTTTAAAAACCGATAGGACATGTATACCTTCAGCGCCTGTAGGGTTCAAGCCTTTGAACGTGCTAGACCCCTATAGGGTGCTAAGGTTCTGACCCTAAAGGGTTTAGGATTAAGGCTTAAATGCCCTCTAGGTTTAAATGCCTAAGTCTTAAACCCCAAACCTTTAAACCTTCATCCTATGGGGTTTGAAGGTCAAGGGTTTAGGCTTGATTGCCGAGGGCTTTAGGGTCCTGACCCTAGAGGGTTTAGGGTTAAGGAATAGATGCGTAAACCTTAAACCCTTAAGGTTTAAACTCTATGGGCTTAGGGGGCTTAGGTTTTTTTAAACCCTAAGCCTTTAAACCTTCACACTACAGAGTTTAGAGGTGTTAAGGGTGACAAATTGATTACATACTTAGCTTTAAATGCCTGAATCTTAAACCCCAAACCTTTAAACCTTAACCCTATAGGGTTTAAAGGTTAAGGGCTTAGTGTTAATCGCTGTCTTAGGTTTAAATGTCTGAATCTTAAACCCTAAAACTTTAAACCTTCACCCTATAGGGTTTAAAGGTTAAGGGTTTAGGTTGAATCGTCAGCTTGGATTTAAATGTCTAAGTAAAGAATCCTAAACCTTTAAATCTCATCCCTATGGGGTTTAAGGTTAAGGGTTCAATATGAACTGCCGGCATAGGTCTAAATACCTAAACCTTAAACTTAAACCCTAAACCTTTAAATATCTTAACCCTATAGGGTTTAAAGGTTAGAGGCTTAGCGTAAATTGCCGGAATAGGTTTAAATGCCTAAATCTTAAGCCCGAAACCTTTAAACCTTAGCCCAACAGGGTTTAAAGGTTAAGGGTTTAAAATTAGTTGCAGGCTTAATTAGGTTTAAATGCCTACATCTTATATCCTAAACCTTTAAAAATCTTAACCCTATAGGGTTTAAAGGTTAAGGGCTTGGCTACAGGTTTAAATGGCTAAATATTAAACCCTAAGCCTCTAAACTTTAACCCTACAGGGTTTAAAGGTTAAGGGTTTAAAATTAGTTGCAGGCTTAGGTTTAAATGCCTACATCTTAAACCCTAAACCTGTAAAAATCTCAACCCGATAGAATTTAAAGGTTAAGGGCTTAGCTTTAATTACCGGCATAGGTTCAAATGCCTAAATCTTAAACCCTTAACCTTTAAACCTTAACCCTACAGGGTTTAAAGGTTAAGGTTTTTTTTTGCAGGCTTAGGTTTAAATGCCTAGATCTTAAATTATAAACAAAAGCCAACAGAAAGAAAAACCCTCCGTGCGTGTGTGAGAGGGTGAATTAAGGAATACAGTCAAAAATCCGGTCACCGGAAAATCACCAGACAGCATAGGTTTTATCGGTATTTGCGGTACTTTTGCAAAGATCAAGGCCCGCGGTGGGTCCATTGGGGGGGGGGGGGGTGACCATATATATATATATGTATATATATATATGTGGCTATATATGTATATAACATATATACATATATGGAATAAAAGGGTAACTCATTCCCTCATTCCCTTCTAACAACCAAGAGGTTCGGGGCTGATGCAGCACTAACCCTTACTTAACCCTGAACCCTAAACCCTAAACCCTAAACCCTCAACCCACAACCCTAAAACCCTCAACCCACAACCCTAAACCCTAAACCCTCAACCCTTACTTAACCCTGAACCCTAAACCCTAAACCCTAAAACCCTCAACCCTAAACCCTCAACCCTAAACCCTAAACCCTCAACCCTAAAACCCTAATCCCTAAACCCTCAACCCACAACCCTAAAACCCTAACCCTAAACCCTCAACCCTGAACCCTAAGCTCTTGGAACTCTTTGGGCTGCAGGCCCAGCAACAGGTACCAGAAGCACAGCCACTGCGTCCACCGAAACCTCTTGATTTGGTTTGGGGTTCAGGGTTTAGGGTTTGGGGTTTAGGGTTTAGGGTTTGGGGTTTGGGGTTTAGGGTTTAGGGTTTGGGGTTTGGGGTTTAGGGTTTAGAGTTTAATTAGGGTTTAGGGTTCGGGGTTTAGGGTTTAAGGTTTCGGGTTTAGTTACCTGGGGGACTGCATGTGTGTGTAGGTACTACGTATCAAACGGGCATGAGCTGGTAGAGGCAGGGGAGGGCATTGGCCACCCTGTGCCTTCGGAACGGAACGCCGGAACGGAATTGAGGGTTTAGGGTTTTAGGGTTTTAGGGCTTAGGGTTTAGGGTTGTTTAGGGTTTAGGGTTTAGGGTTTAGGGTTTGGATGTGGCACAGGCTTACTTGAAGGTTCTTTGGACTAACCGTACCCGATTTAGAGCTTGGAATGTTATTACGAATACACCCACTGGGCACTGCCGTGATCCCTGAACCCTAAAACCCTAAACCCCTAAACGGGATCTTCCGGTTTGTCGGGGGGCGGGGGCAGTGTGTCGGCATCCTCAGTGAGGCGATAAACCCTAAACCCCAAACCCTGAACCCTGAACTCTAAACCTAAACCCTAAGCCCTAAGCCCTAAACCCTAAGCCCTAAGCCCTAAACCCTAAACCCTAAACCTAAACCAGTACCTAGACGGGGGGCAGTTGGTCGGCATCCTCAGTGAGGCGGTAGACATCGCTCATGACCTCGAGGCGACCCTGGGCCGCGTCGGTGAGGTTCCCTGGCCTGACGGTTTAGGGTTCAGGGTTTAGGGTTTGGGGTTTAGGGTGTAGTGTTTGGGGTTTGGGGTTTAGGGTTGGGGTTGAGGGCATAGGGTGTAAGGTTTAGGGTTTCGCACATGCGGGTTTCCAACCATTCGGGGTAGCCATTGGGGGGGTCAATTCCAAAAAGGAGATGAGGCGATCCCGCGGACCCTACTGTTGGGAAATGCCCAGATCACCCTAAACCCTAAACCCTAAACCCCAAACCCTAAACCCTAAACCCTAAACCTTAAACCTTATATACTATATGGATATATGGACCCTTCGGCTCATACCAGGCACTGCATACGCCTTGGCCGGCTCCTAAAGCTTAGAGAGTCCACCGCCGCCCTGGAACCCCCAGGCCATGAGCATCATGAAAGCCGCAAACCCTAAACCCTAAACCCAAAACCCTAAACCCTAATCCATCCCCAGCGGCGGGAAGTCCACAACCGTGCCAGAAAGGGAGGCGAACTCCCGGAGCTTGTCGCTGAGACGGTCGACTGCTCCGGCAAGGACGGCATACAAAGCCTCACAACACCGTTGGCTCAAACAGAAACACTTAGTTGCTGAGTTCATAAGCCCCAAAATAGTGTACACTTTCAGTTCTCTAGGGGAATTTAGTATCCAAAAAAGCGTAAAGTGGGATCACTCAGCTACTAAGGAAACAATATCAGCAAATAACGAATACGTTTGGGTAGATGTGTGTGTGTGTATATGAAAGTTTAAATGGCAACGAAATGGGGAAAATCCTGGTCTGGGGGTGGGGGGGGGGGGGGATGTTGAGACGCTACACTTTAGAAGGGTAAGTTGCGCACGGGTTCGCTGCAAACCACCACTAGTGATACAAAGCAGGTGGCAATGAAGTCCTAACCAAAAGCAGGAAGGTAGGGACTACCCTTGGGCAACGGGGTATGCTTCTACATCGACGAATGTGTCAATCCAGAAGGGGCGCATGCTTACAATAGACAATCCTGAGCCGGAAGCCCGCCCCTATGATACCATCGCCACCCGTAAGCCTAAACCCTAAACCCTAAACCCTTAACCCATTTGGAGCTGCACCAGAGCAGTCGCCTGCCATTGGGTGGACATGAGCGAACCGTGCTTTGGAGAAGAGATGGGTGTCTGGGGTACCCTGAACCCTAAATCTGAAATCCTAAGCCCTAAGCCCTAAGCCCTAAACCGTAAACCCTCCTAAACCCTAAACCCTAAACCCAAACCTAAACCTGAGGCATTAACCCGCAACAAATGGTGTTCCTTGAACCTCGCACCCCCCCCCACACACAATCAATTTATACACAATAAGAATATTAATCAGAATGAACAAAGTGATGATGATAAGAATAAATAGTCGCCACAAATAAAGAACCGAGAGGTTCATGTACCTCGTTGAGACATGTTGAGGCGGAACAACAACTGCTGACTCTGCGACCCAGGAGCAAGATACGCAATGCCTCCAACAACCTGAATCAAGCTGACGATCCGGTAGACGTTGAAGACAAAGGACTGAATGTGATGGCTCTTCCATGTCTGCCACCACATGAGCACCTCTGTCCCCTGAAACCCTAAACCCTAAACCCTAACCCGAAAAGCTAAACCCTAAACCCTAAACCCTAAACCCTAAACCCTAAACCCTAAACCCTAACCCTAAACCCTAAACCCTAAACCCTAAACCCTAAACCCTAAACCCAAAAAAACAAAACAGGCACCTCTACCACCACACAGGCCGCCAAACCAAGGGCTGCCAAAACGTCTGCCGCCGTACTGGAAAGAACAAAGTTCCTTGTGGGAGGTTGAGGGGTTTGGGGTTTAGGGTTTAGGGTTTGGGCATTGGGGTTTAGGGATTTAGGGTTTGAGGGTTTGAGGGTGTAAGGGTTTTGGGGTTGAGGTTTAGAGTTTGGGGTTTGGGGTTTAGGGTCTGCAGATCCCCAAGCCCTACGCCCCCCAAGAAGCCTAAACCCAATGTGGGATGTTCCCCACTTCTGCTCACAGTCCTTAAAGGGATGATAATGGGGGCTACTATCAATTATCCTTATGAAGGACTTAGTAGAACGGGGAACATCCAAAAACCCAATCATATTCCCCAAGGTTCGGACTGGAAGTGTATACATTTGAAGGGATCATCTGTAGAGAGCTTTGCCGGCGCAGGTATCCACTCCTGCTCATGGGACTTTGGCTTAGAGTGTAAGTACGGATTTAGGGCTGGCCTTAGGGTTTAGGAGGGCCTCACGGTTTCTAGGTGCCAGAGCACAAAAAAAGTATATCTTCCGCGGTGTCCGCAGGCACGAAAAACCACCCAAATCAACACATCTTCCCAAGAAAGGTCTGGACTCTCTTCTAGGAGGAAGTCGAAGGACAGGAGGACAAAATGCTCGCTCCGCCGGTTGTAGAAGAGGGCTTTGAAGCCTGGGCAGCCCAGTAACCATAGTATAGTAAGGGCACGCACCCGTTTTCGGGGGGAGTAGGGTTTAGGGCTTAATTCGGGTTTAGGGTTTAGGGTTTAGGGTTTAGGGTACTTTTTTCAGGGAACCTTGAACCAAACAAAAAGGGAAAGGGAGCCGCTGGGCTGCCAAGAAGCTCAAGCCGTTGGTGTCCGCCGACAGCCAGTTGCTGCTCTGCAGGTGACTTAGGTGGACAAGGATTGCGCCCAAGTCTTGCGAGATGTCGAGCCAGTATGTGTCCTGCGCGCCGTCTCTCCTTGTTGCCCCATGGGAGCATGACTCGTTGTAGATGATGTCCATCCAGAGCTGGGGGTCCTCTTCGCACTGTAGCGGCGCGCTCCACTGCCTCGCCAGGCGGACACCCCCAACCAGGTGCAAACGCCCAGCCAAGCGACCTCGGCCCATAGGTGTATCCTGCCACAGGCGCGGGAAGTAGCCCTGCAGTAGCCAGTCGTAGGCTTCCGCGAAGTCTTCCAAGACATCTTCGTTTGGGCTGTCGTCACCCTGGCCGACGCTCTTGCCCCGTCTTCGGAGTACGTTGCCGTCGAGATTCTGGAAAGTGGCCCGAATCTCCCAAGCAACAGCAGAGTTCCTATGCTGCTGGCCGAATGGGTACAAGAACAACCATGCAGTAACCTAGCGAGGTCAGTCGTAGTACCAGAATGAAACAATGCTCCCCCAAAACCTATGAAACTGGTGTGCCTTCCGGGTGCCGAATTCCACAATGCGCTATGAATCACACTGCAGGCACTTGCCTTCAAAAATGACAACCCTCAACTCTCAGGGTAGGTACATGGTCCCGTAGCATGGGCCCTGAAAAGGGACCGCTTAAATTCCCTATTCAACCCAAGGGCCATACCTCAGAACCCTCCTAAACCCTAAACCCTAAACCCTAAACCCTAAACCCTAAACCCTAAACCCTAAACCCTAAACCCTAAACCCTAAACCCTAAGCGCTGCACTGTAAGACATATCGAGCGGCTGATGCACGGCTTGCGAATACACAAACAGGAGCCAGTAGATGAGAGTCACAACGAGACCTAGCTTGGCCAATGGCGCTCTTAAACTAGGGTCGAGGGTTTATGGTTTAGGGTTTAGGATTTCGGGTTTAGGATTTGGGTTTAGGGTTTAGGGTTTAGGGTTTAGGGTTTAGGGTTTAGGGTTTAGGGTTTAGGGTTTAGGGTTTAGGGTTTAGGGTTTAGGTTTGTAGGGCTTTAAGGTTTAGGACTCCTTAAGTTGAGCTCCGAAAAGCTCCCCATTGCAGAGGGTTTAGGGAACATATTCCTGGCTCTGATCTACTTTCCTGAAGAAAACCCCCACCCGGCGGTTTAGGGTTTAGGGTTTAGGGTTTAGGGTTTAGGGCTTAGGGTTTAGGGTTTAGGGCTTAGGGAGAAAGATGCCAAGATTACCCTTATAGGGAAGCTTCGCGGCCACGGTCAAATAGTAGTGGCAATTCCCCAAGACGGGAAGATGGAAAATATCCCAATGTCCTACAATGTAGGAGCCTGAATAACTAGAATAGGGTTTTGGGGGGGGTGGGGGGGGGGGGGGTTAGGGTTATTCGAGTATAGCTATAAAGGGGCCCATAGGGAACGCAAACTAAACCCTAAACCCAAAACCCTAAACCCCAAAACCCTAAACCCTAAACCCTAAACCCGAAACCCTAAACCCTAAACCTCTAACCCCCCAAACCCCTAAACCCCTAACCCCTAAACCCAATATTGCCCAGGGGGCTCGCGCACAAGAGCGGCTTTGGCACGTGAGAGGCCTCATCGGTGCCCATGAAGTTCCGAATCGAGGGGATCCTTTCCTCAGGTGCGGAAAGCGCCCTTCGAATCACAAGCAATCATTTCATTGCACTAGCCCTAAACCCTAAACCCTAAACCCTAAACCTTAAACCCTAAACCCTAAACCCCAAACCCTAAACCCTCAACCCTAAACCCTACCCCGAAACATCCAAAAACAGCCCGAAAGCCGAAAACCTTCCGAGCGGGCAAGTGTCGGTGACGAACGTCGATTCTGCCGCTTCGGAGTCTGCTACTGCCTGTGCCTCTCTGAGAGCTTCTACTATTTGCTTAAGAACCACCAAAAGATGAAAGAAAATAATCCGTATATTATCCCCCCAAAAATATATACTAATAATCCCTATGTTACCAAAATAATACAACTATAATCCCTATATTACCCTTATAAGGGAGATGTTTTTTTTTTTGGGGGGGGGTTCTTAAGCAATTGGTAGGTTTGGGGCTTTATGGGAAGCCACGGAGTAACATTTGTTTTACAGTCCCTACATACCTCAGTTGCCCTAGAATCCCGAGCCCCAAACCCCAGAACCTGAACCCGCGCACCTCTAGCCTTCATAGACTGTGAACCCTAATCCCTCAACCCTGAAACCTGAACCCTAACCCCAAACCTACTATTTGCTCCAGAACCCCCCCACAAGATATTCTTCCTTATAAGGGCAATATAGGGCTCTGAAGCAAACAGTAGTAACCCTAAACCCTAAACCCTAAACCCTAAACCCTAAACCCTGAACCCTGAACCCTAAACCCTAAACCCTAAACCCTAAACCCTAAACCCTAACCCTAAACCCTAAACCCTAACCCATCTTCAGCCACTCACGCCGCAGAGATCCCCAGCTGCACGGACCCAAGCTCTTCGTGCTCGTTGGTCTCCTTGGTAACCCCACTCAGCTGGTTTCTCATCGGAGCCCGGCAAACCTACACGCTCTAAACGCCCGAAACGCCCTAAACCCTAAACCCTAAACCCTAAACCCTAAACCCTAAACCCTAAACCCTAAACCCTAAACCCTAAACCCTAAACCCTAAACCCTAAACCTGAACAGCTCGCCTGTGAGTTTTGAGGGCTCCTCACCCTGCGGGGAATTCCCACATAATAATAAGGGTACTCTGAAACCCTAAACCCCAGGGTTTAGGGTTTAGGGTTTAGGGTTTGGGGTTTAGGGTTTAGGGCGTTTGGGCCTCGTGCATCTCATTGTCAAATTCCTCCTGCGCTGCGTTGGTGTCCGCTGTCTGGGCGGCCGGAGACACCCCATCCATGGCGCCAGCATGAAAGAAGTTGCACTTGGAGGATGGATGGACTTGACAGGTAGGCTATGAAGAAGTAGGAGAACCCCAGCTAACCCTAAACCCTACACCCTAAACCCCAAACCCTAGATTTTAGAAGAACTGTACCTACTTGCAAGGTCCCCGATCCTCTGTTCTCGGGTTGTAGGGCTCTTGGGCTTTGGTAGGGGTGTCCTGAAGAATTCACTCCTGGTATCGGTCTGCCCTAGACCCTAACCCTCACCTAAAAGCTCTACCAACCCTAAAAACCCCAAAAACCCTGAAAACCCTAAACACTCTAAACCCCCGAAACCCTAAACCCTAAACCCTAAACCCTAAACCCCAAACCCTAAACCCTAAACCCTAAACCCCAAACCCTAAACCCTAAACCCTAAACATATGTGGGCATGTCTCTGCGGAGCTGCTTTGGGACTCCTGAAATGAGGGCCCGTGTTAGGCCTCTTGCTCCCGTCATGGAAATCGCAATCGTGGCATGGCAGGGGTCTTAAGGGGTTTAGGGACTTAGGGTTTAGGGAAATAGGGATAAAGGGTTTAGGGTTTAGGGTTTTAGGGTTAGGGTTTTAGGATTTAGGGAATTAGGGTTAGGGCCTTAGGGTTTAGGGTTTAGGGATTTAGGGATATAGGGGTTTAGGGTTTAGGGTGCAGGGATTTAGGGTTTAGGGATAAAGGGATATAGGGTTTAGGGGTTTAGGGTTTAGGGATGTAGGGTTTAGGGTACAGGCATTTAGGGTTTAGGGATATAGGGATCTAGGGTTTAGGGATTGAGGGATTTGGGGCCTCAAGGGGGTGTTCCGAATTGGGGGCGTTGGGAGGTTTAGGGTTGTGCAGGGTTTAGGGTTCGAGGAAAGGGGTGCTGGGTTTAGGCGTTTAGGGTTCCGGGTTTAGGGTAGGGTTCTGTTTAGCGTTTAAGGGTGGGTTGTTGGTTTTTTTTTCGTTTTGCTTTGAGTTTCACATTCGGGATTCAGGGTATATTCGGGGGTAGAAGGAGCGACCCCTAGAAGGGACGCCTTCCTCTTATTCCACCTATATCGCCCCTGTATGTACCTCAAAAAGTCCCCATATACTTTAAGTAGTTTCTAAATAACCCTAAACCCTAAACCCTAAACCCTAACCCTGAACATGAAACTCAAACCCTAAGGTCCCTTATAAGCTTCCCCTCCTTCAGTTCCTTGAGTATAAGGCTTAGGACGAGGGTGGCCATTCGTCCTTCATGTCCTTCTTCTGCTCTGCTGGCCTTGCTTAGGGTTTTGGGTTTGGGGTTTAGGGTTTAGGGTTGAGGGTTTAGGGTTTAGGGCCTTTGCGCTCACGAGAGGGGGGGGGGGAGCTTGTTGAGGACCCTAACGTAGTTGACCCTAAAATCTCATCCCTAAACCCTACAACGTAAACCCTAAAACCAAAAAGCCCCAAACCCTCTAGACCCAAGAGTAACCTAGGAACAAAAGGGTGCCCTTTTTGTGTCAAAGCGGCGTGTACAGGAACCCAAACCCCAAAGGAAGGGGATAAGGCTAAGGGCCTACTTCGGGTCGTAACCCTGGTAAGTTTTCTTATTGCCCTAAACCCTAAACCCTAAACCCTACACCCTAAACCATAAACCCTAAACCCTAAACCCTAAACCTATGGTGAGTAGGGTTTCAGAGAGAAACTGGTAGCCTCTCTCCTCGCTGAGAAAAGCCGACGAAAGCATGGTTTGGGGTAGTAGTATAGGGGCATGGCTTTAGGGCTTAGTTTAGGGTTTAGGGTTTAGGGTTTAGGGTTTAGGGTTTAGGGTTTAGGGTTTAGGGTTTAGGGTTTAGGGTTTAGTAGGGGTTAGGGTTTGGGGTTTAGGGTTCAAGGGCTTCGGACTTGCGTTTTCTAGACACCGGAAAAATTGCCTTAAACATCACAGGGCCTTGAACCCCATGTCAGGGGTGTTGGCGAACTTGCCTGCATTAATCTGAATCCCTAAACCCTCACCCTTCAGTCTTCACCCTGAACCCCTAAACCCTAGAAACAACCCTAAACCCTAAACCCTAAACCCTAAACCCTAAAGCCTAAACCCTGAACCCTCTTAAAGCCAGGAGAGCGGAGCCCACCGAGGTCGGAACTCGGCTTGCGTAATGATGAAGATGTTCTCACTCCTCAGACTACTATTTGCTTGAGAAATAAGAGCGCCCCCAAAAATAATGGATAATAGGCCCTTGCGAATATTTCTATTTTGTGGGGGTTCTTAAGAAACTCGTAGGAGATCTCCGGGATTTGGTACAAGCTACGATTTCGTGTTCGAGGGGTTGAAGGGTTAAGGGGCTCAGTTAAGGGGTGAAAGGGGGCTTAAGGGGTTAGGGGGTTAGGGGGGTTAAGCGAGTAAGGGGTCTAGGGTTTGGGGTTTTAGGGTTTCGGGTTTAAGTTTAGGATTGTTGGTTGGGGGGTTCGGGTGCAGACACCGCAGCCGACAGTCTTTGGGAAGCTAATGTAGGCATCTGGTCAACCTGATGATAGGGTTCTTAAGGAGGGGGGGTTTATGGGGGGTAGCTACCTAGGGAACCTTGGGGAAGCATAGGGAGGCTTAGGGAGTAGTGGGGAGTATTAGGGAACCTTGGGTTACATACCCCCCTTTGAACCCCCTTCCCTTAGAACATGAGGCGTTTATACTCCTCTCAAAGTAATTGTGAACATCGTGCATGTTAATTTCCCTTCTCTTCGTTAGGTTTTACCTTCAACCCTAAAGCCTACACCCCAAACCACGGGCAGAAGCGCGGCCCCACGCGTCGTTGGCAGCAAAATCAAAGCCTCAATGAGACCCTGACCCTAAACATCCTAAAACCGAAGAGCCCCAAAATAAAGTATATGGGGTTTCCGAAAAAAAGGGGTCTCCTTTTTGGGCCCTCTGAGGATTCAATTCTAGAGGGGTACCCCTGTTTTGGGGAAATAACCCTAAACCCTAAACCCTAAGACCTCCACGGGTGCGTTGCTGGTCGAGATGCCGCGACATGATGCCAGAAGCACCGGAAAACTGAAGAAACTCCTCCGACCTTGGCGTGTTTGGGGTTTAGGGTTTAAGGGTTAAGGGTTTAGGGTTTGGGGTTTAGGGTTTAAGGTTTTAGGGTTTAAGGTTTGAGGGTGAAGGGTTTGGGCTTTAAGGTTAAAGGGGGGTCAAGGTACACCAGGTACTGGGCTGAATGCCCTTTGCGGCTCTGCCCATGTCGCTCCGCCAAACCAGCCTGCCACGGCGGCGTGCGCCCCAATCACTCAGCTCTTTATGGCATGGCCTTCCAGGACAGCGACAAAGCAAGCTTCGAACTCGCCGCCTTGATCGTGGACAATCTCGAAGGCAATGCTGACTTGCGTACATTTAAGAGGACCTCCGTTCAGAACAACCCACCCCACCCGTGGTTTAGTGCTTAGCGTTTAGGGAATAGGTTTTTGGAAGCTAGAGCCCTTGGCCCTAACCCCAAAGCCCGAAGCCTTAGGCCGTAGGCCCTGAACCCTAAACACACAACTAGCCAAGATGTCTTCAATGAGCCCTTGTATGGTATAGCGTCCCTTGGTTTGGGGTTCTGTTGTCAGGGTCCCCCCTGGTCCTGTGATACAGAGCTAAAGGGAAAAGGGCTCCGACGTGAGCAGCTGCCTGAGAGCTCGACCCCTACCATAGTCAGGGTTCAGGCTGAACCCTAAACCCTAAACCCTAAACCCTAAACCCTAAACCCTGAACCCTAAACCCTAAACCCTACACCCTAAACCCCTGAATTGTTCAGGGTTTAGGGACCGGTTACTTTCATGTGGGTATGGACGGTGTCTGCGGCCTGCAAGTCAGGTCTGAGATGCATCCTCCCGGTCCGAAACCCTCCAAGCATCCCAGGAAGGAGCAGGGGCCCTAAACCCTAAACCCTAAACCCTAAACCCTAAACTCCTTAAAAGGGAGCCCTTCTTAACCCTCTTCTGGCTCTCTTAGACAGGGACCTTATATCCCCACGAGTCCCCCGAATCTCATTCCCTAAAGCAGGCGTTGCCCCCCCCCCCCCCCCCCCCCCCCGAACAAAAAAAAAAAACCAAACCCTAAACCCAAACCCTAAACCCAAACCCTAAACCCTAAGCCCGAAACCCTAAACGAAGTCCTCAACCCCCGAAACCTAGGCTTGAAAGAACGGAAGAAGGGGGCCCTGGGCTTAGGGCTCATGGTCCTTACGACCCTCGACATATACTCGTAAAGAAGCCACGTGAATGTTTTGCAATATTCAATACACACACACATACACATACACATACATACCATACATACGCATACATATACATACATACACGCACACACATGCAGGCATGCATGCATACATACATACTTATTTGCTTCCTTTCAAAGAATTATCTACCATCTTTCTACGATGTCCTGCTATAGTCATACGATACACTCGACTGACACCAATGATGTTTCTAGCGCTAACCCCTAAACCCTAAGCCCTAAGCCCTAAACCCTAAACCCTAAACCCTAAACCCCAGAACGCAAGGGTGTCCAGGGCAGCGGCTCATTGAAACGAATGTCCAGTTGCGACAAGCTCAGGGTCAGCCGAGGCCTGGGCCCCCAAAAAAGCCCTGAAACTCGAAGGGTAAGGTATTAGGGTTTAGGGTTTAGGGTTTAGGGTTTAGGGTTTAGGGTTTAGGGTTTAGGGTTTAGGGTTTAGGGTTTAGGGTTTAGGGAAGCCTACTACACCAGGCCTCCAGCCCGGAGGTTCGAGTTCCAAGCCTAAAAGGTGCTGAAAACACCCTGAGCCCCTAAATCCTAAATGCCTAAACCCTAAATCCCTATATCCCTAAACCCTAAACCCTTGGCCCAAGAAAAGGACATGCCCAGACTCCAAAACAAAAGAGTGTGCAGTGCTCACGGGTTAGGGATTTAGGGTTTAGGATTTAGGGTTTAGGGTTTGGGGTTTAGGGTGTAGGGTTTGGGGTTTAGGGTTTGGAGTTTAGGGTGTAGGGTTTGGGGGATTAGAATTGAGGGTATT